ACCCTCACTGACTTTGTCGACACCCTGACTGTGATAGAGACCCGTCACCGCTCCATCGCCCAGGCGAGCGGTGTCGTGCCGGTCCCTATCTTTCAGGGTTGTGCCCCTGCTCAGTGTACCTTCTCCGACGGCTCTGCCGCAGTGGCTGAGACTGCTGCTGCAGCGCAGGCCCGTTCGGGGAAGGGCCGCCGCCCCAAGGCTGGGCGCGGCGGAGGGGGCGGCGGGGGTGCGGGCGGGGGTAGTGGTGGGGTCGGGTCGCCTGGTGCTGGAGCGGACGAGGGGACCCTGCCCAGTCCAGCTGAGTCGCCGCCCCTGCAGTTGCAGCAGTCGCAGCAGCCGCCGCAGTCGCAGCCTTCGCAGCAGCCGCAGCAGCCGTCGCAGACACGGCAGACGAGTGTTCTCCCGCCAGGGTGGCCCGGCGCTGGCGGTGGACGGGCGCGTGGTGGTGTGCCGCGAGGTGGCTCTTCCGGCGGGCGTTGTCAGTACCAGATTCAGACCGGTCCTCGCCGCGGTTTCGTTTGCGGTAAGATCGGTCACTCCACTCCCCGCTGCTTTCGTCGCCTGGACGACCTCTTTCGTCAGCGTTTCGGCCCGTCGCCAGACCTCCCAGACTGGCACAGTTTGCTTAGTCGTCAGATTCAGATCTTTGATATGGACATGGATGCCATTGTTTCTGCTCTTCATGTGATGTATGCTGATGACTCTAGTGTGCTTCCCACTTATTACTCACTGTTGCCTAGTGTAGGTGTGCCTAGCTTAGCCCCCCCTGCTGCGTCAGGCGTAGGATCCCCTGCTTTGTGTAGTCTTGGTGCTTCTGCCGTCGTTCCGTCGCCAGACCCCTCGGCTTCGCTTTCCTTCACCTTGGACTCTGGCGCCTCTCGGTGTTTCTTCCGCGACTCCACCACCCTGACGCCGCTTCCTGTTCCTGCTGCCGTTTCTCTTGCTGACCCCTCCGGCGGCCCGGTAGTCGCCCGCAGTTCCACCACCCTTCCCTGTCCGGCGGTTCCTTCGGGCTCTCTTACAGGTCTGCATATCCCCTCGTTCTCCAGGAACCTAGTTGGTGTCGGCTGCCTCCAGGACCTTGGCGTCACCACTACGTTCCCTGGTCACGAGCGGTATGCTGTCTGTACCGAGGCCGCCACTGGTGCCCCCCTGTCCACGTTCCCCCGGGACCCGGTGTCCGGCCTGTTCACTCTGGACACCGTGCCCCCCCCGGCTGGAGCGCCCCCTCAGGTGGCTGTGTCTACCCAGGTTGCTGCTGCCTGCTCCTGTCGCTCCCTCACTCACCCGACCCTCCTGTGGCACCACCGCCTAGGTCACCCTGCGCTCCCGCGTCTGCGTCACATGTCCCAGCACGGTCTTGTCCTTGGTCTCCCAGGTTCACTCCCCGCGTTTCCCTCCTCCCCAGCTCCGCCTTGCACGCCTTGTGTCGAGGGTCGGCTTCGCCGTGCCCCTCACTCCTCCTCGTTCCCCCCTACCGTCGCGCCGCTGCAGACCCTGCACCTGGACGTCTGGGGCCCCGCCCCCGTCCCTGGGCCGCGTCGCGAGCGCTACTTCCTTGTGCTTGTCGACGACTTCACTCGTTACACCACAGTCTTTCCCCTGGAGCGCAAGACCGACGTGCCTGGCGCCCTCATCCCCTGGCTTGTCTCTGCGCGTGTCCACCGCGGTCTCCCTGTCTTGCGTCTTCACTCAGACCGTGGTGGCGAGTTTGCCTCAGGTGTCCTTGGTCGCTTTTGTCGTGCGGAGGGCATCACCCAGACGTTCACCCTACCGGACTCCCCATAGCAGAATGGGGTCGCTGAGCGACGCATCGGCTTGGTCATGGAGGTTGCTCGCACCTCCATGGTCCATGCCGGTGCACCCCATTTTCTGTGGCCGTTCGCTGTGCGCTACGCTTCTCACCAGCTTAACCTGTGGCCGCACCCTCAGCAGCCGCAGGTTTCGCCGACCCGTCTGTGGACTGGGTCTCCTGGTGACGCGTCTGCGTTCCACGTCTGGGGCTGCCTTGCTCACGTCCGTGCCTCCGGCACGGACAAGCTCACTGCCCGCACCCTTCCCTGCGTCTTCCTCGGTTTTCCCCTTGACGCGTCCGACTGGCACTTTTACCACCCGCCGTCTCACCGCTTCTTTCACTCTCGTGACGTCACCTTTGACGAGTCCGTCTCCTACTACCGCCGCTTCCCCCACCGTGGTCCCCCGGTTACCCCCCCCCTTTTCCTGGTCACCCCTTCCCCGGTAGTCCCTGCCCCTCCTCCTCCTCCTCCCCGTCCCGCCCCCTCTGGTGTCTCCCATGTCACCCCCCTTCCGTCCGTGGACCCGGTTGAGGAGTCTTCTGACTCTGGTGGCCCTCCGGTGCAGTCCTCGCCGGCCGCCCCTCCCCAGGTGTCCCCTCCCCAGTCCCCTCCTCCGCCGTCCCTGCCGCCACTGCAGCCGTCGCCGTCGCCGCCGCCGCCGCAGTCGCAGCCCCCGTTCGCTGACTCTGGGGGTGCTCGTCCCGGTCGCCCTGAGGGTGGTCCCTCTGGGGGTGCGGGTGTGGAGCGTGCCGGTGGTAGCCGAGGAGCAGCTTGCGGTCCAGGTGTCGCCGTTGTGCCGCCGCAGCAGCAGTCCCCGCCGGTGTCCGCCCTTCGCCTGCTCGGCCTTCCGTCCCCCGACCCTGCGTCGGTTCCTCCCCGACCGTCTCCTCCTCTTCCTGTCTACGGCCCTGTTTTCCCTCCGCCGGACTCGTCCCCGGCCCGTCTCCCCCCTCGTTCACCTCCAGTGTCCCCTCCCCTGTCTCCTGACCCGACTCCTCCATCGCACGTCTGGTCTCACCGTCCCTCCCGTGCTCGTCCTGCCTCGCCTGTCCTGCGCTCCCACCCTATGTTGCTTCGTTCACACGCGTCTCGTCCTCCCCTTCTGCCGTCGCCTCCTCCGTCCTCCCTTGTTGTTGCGCCCCCCCCGCTGTCCGACTATCTTCGTGCCGCTCGTCCCCTCGTTCCTCGGGTCCTTGCCTCTCTCGTTACCGACCCGTCTGTTCCAGTCTCGTGCCTTGACGCTCTTGTCGCTGCTGTCGCTGACTTCGCCTCTACCCGCCGCCTTGACTACGCCACCGCTCTGGTCTCTGACCCTGCCTGTCCTCCGTCTGTCGGGGGTGCTCCTGCCCTTGGCAGTGACGTCCTGGAGGACCGCCAGTTCGAGCTTGCTTTCCTGTCTGAGGGTGCTCCCCATCTCTGTTCCATGCTGCTAGTCCCTGAGGGTGACCCAGACGCTTTCGACATCCCGACCCCTCGCACTTACGCTGAGGCGACTTCGAGACCCTAGGCCTCACAGTGGATAGCTGCCATGGAGCAGGAGATGGCATCTTGGAGATCCACCGGCACCTTCGTCGACGCAGTTCCCCCACCTGGGGTGAACGTAGTCGATGGCCGCTGGCTCTTCAAGGTGAAGCGCCCTCCTGGAGAGCCGCCTGTCTTCAAGGCGCGCTATGTGGCTAGAGGCTTCAGTCAGCGCGAGGGGGTGGACTTCTTCCAGACTTTCGCTCCGACCCCGAAGATGACTACTCTTCGGGTTCTGTTACACCTAGCTGCTCAGCGTGACTACGAGCTTCACTCTCTCGACTTCTCCACTGCCTTCCTTCAGGGCAGCCTACACGAGCAGGTCTACCTGCACCGCCCTCCGGGCTTTACTGGCACCTTCCCTCCTGGGACCCAGTGGCTCCTGCGGCGCCCCGTCTACGGCCTGCGCCAGGCTCCCCGTGAGTGGCACGACACTCTGCGTGCTACGCTTGCTGACCTGCAGTTCTTTCCGTCTTCTGCAGACCCTTCACTCTTCGTTCGTGCTGGCCAGACTCCGTTCTACATCCTCGTCTACGTCGACGACCTGGTCTTTGCCACAGCAGACAGGGACGCGCTGGCCTCCGTGAAGGCAGAGCTGCTGAAGAGACACACCTGCACTGACCTTGGAGAACTGCGCCGTTACCTTGGCTTGCAGATCTCCAGGGACAGAGCTGCGCGCACCATCACCCTGACTCAGTCACACTTGGTGCGCCAGGTCCTTCAGAGGTTCAGCCTTCAGTTCTCCTCTGCACAGCCCACCCCTCTGCCTGTAGACCACAGGCTCTCCGCTCCAGTGCCTGAGGAGTTGGTAGAGCCCAGCGGCCCCTACGCAGAGCTGGTGGGTTGCCTCATGTACCTGATGACTTGCACTCGCCCAGATCTCGCATACCCTCTCAGCATCCTGGCTCGCTTTGTGGCCACAGGCAGACACCGACCGCAGCACTGGTCTGCCGCTAAGAGGGTTCTGCGTTATCTTGCTAGTACATCGGGCATGGGGTTAGTGCTAGGAGGACGCAGGCCAGCGGTCCTTACTGGGCACACAGACGCTTCGTGGGCAGACGACGCTGAGACACTCCGGTCTACCCAGGGCTACTGCTTCAGCCTTGGCTTAGGTGCCGTCTCGTGGAGAGCTACTCGCTCCTCGTCTGTTGCACAGTCCAGCTGTGAGGCTGAGATCTACGCCGGTGCCATGGCGGCACAGGAGCTCCGCTGGCTGACCTTCTTGCTCACTGACTTAGGTGAGCGACCTAGCTCTGCCCCGGTCCTGTTCGCTGACAACAGGGCCATGATCCTCCTGTGTCAGGAGCCTCGACTCGAGGGCAGAGCGAAGCACATTCAGCTGCGGTACTTCCTCCTGCGTGAGCTACAGCTGCGACGTCAGGCTCGCGTAGTACACTTGGCCTCAGGTGCCAACACGGCTGATATCTTTACGAAGGCGCTTGCGCCTAAAGATCATCAGCGGCACTGTGTACAGCTTGGTCTAGTTCCTGTAGCCTCTCACTTGCTAGGACCTTGACTTTGTACTGTCCTCTATATGTATACTCAGACTGGACTTGTGTCCTCTCCCAGTGGCTGGACTAGTAGTGCCGCCCTGCTCTTTGCTTGCCTTGTCTGTACTCCTTCTGACTGGTCGCTCAAACCCTTGTCTCAGAGGTTGGACTAGTAGTGCCGCCCTGAGCTGTTTGTTTAGGACTTTCCCCTATGCAGTCTAGGGGGTGTGTCAAACATGTCTATAGACTGTATAGGGTAGCCTCTTAGAGGGTACAACACTTAGCTATATTGTGTGTACTCTCCCTCTATCACAATCATTCAATTTTCTGATATTCTCTCCTCAGACGAGTTTCACACCACTCTACACATGGCGCGTGGTGCTTGCCACCCCTCATTTGCCCTGCAGAAGGTGCAGTCGCACAGGCCGCGGCACACCAGGCACTGCCACGTGGCATCAGCTAGCGCCTCAGCAATGCTCTCCCCGTACCTGGTGGCATGCAGGCCAGGCATGGCAACGTGAGACAATATGAGGCAGTATGTGGCAATGTAGGGCAGTATGAGGCGATATGGGGCAGTATGTGGCAATATAGGGCAGTATGAGGCGATATGGGGCAGTATGTGGCAATTTAGGGCAGTATGTGGCAATGTAGGGCAGTATGAGGCGATATGGGGCAGTATGTGGCAATGTAGGGCAGTATGAGGCGATATGGGGCAGTATGTGGCAATATAGGGCAGTGTGAGGCAATATAGGGCAGTATGGGGCAATATAGGGCAGTATGAGGCGATATGGGACAATCTGTGACCATACAAAGCAAGATGAGGCAATCCGGGGGGCATATTGCAATGTGAGGCATTCTGTGGTGAAGTGGCAGGTCAGTGTGTGAACTAGATATAGCAAATGGGTGTGGTAACGAGAGTGGTCCGGAGAAATAGCAAAGCAAAGCAGCACAATGCCTAGGAGAATGGACGAAGAAAACAGGGAGGCAGTAGATCCTTGCTCCCTAGGAGGGTGCCTTTGGCATTGCCTCGTCTCCAATGCCTTCTGCTGCCATCAAGCCCACCTGGTGAGGAGGCAGTGAGCGCATGTCTGGTTCTTCCCCGCTCGGCACAACGCGCAGCGCGTGGTGCGTGCTGCCGTCATGGCTCTGATGGGCGCACACAGGCACGTGAGGGGGCATGCGAGGGGGCATGTGAGGGGGGCAGGTGAGAGGGGCATGTGAGAGGGGCACGTGAGGGGGGCATGTGAAGGGGGCATGTGAATGGGGCAATCGAGGGGGGCATGTGAGGGGGGGATGTGAGGGGGACATGTGAGTTGGCCATGTGAGGGGGACATGTGAGGGGGACATGTGAGCGGGGCATATGAGGGGGGCATGTGAGGGGGCATGTGAAGGGGACATGCGAGGGGGGCATGTGAGGGGGGGCATTAAATGGCAGCATGTAACGGGAGTGAAGCGGAGGACGAAGCATGGAGATAGGCGGTCATGCTGTCAGTAGGAGCCGAAGGGAGAGGTGGTGAGCACTGTCTTGACTTGCGTGCGTTTGCAGTTTCCAAATATGCTATTGTCATGCAGTTTCACTGTCTGCTTCTGAGTTTCATATCCTTGTCAACACCTGACCATTGTGGCGCACCACGCACATGCTGCTACTTGCCCCTTTAGAGTTGGCCATTTCTCTCGTGAACTCAGCTTTCATTTTCTAACAGAAGACTCACCAGCACTGCTGCCAACTCACCTGCACTGCTGCCAACTCACTTGCACTGCTGCCAACTCACCTGCACTGCTGCCAGCTCACCTGCACTGGTGGCAGTAGTGCCAGCTGCTGCTGTCTCTCATACAAAAGCCATGCTCATCGCACCCCTCCCTCTGCCACCCCCACTTGTCCCTCAGCCGCCCCCACTTGTCCCTCAGCTGCCCCCACTTGTCCCTCTGCCCGCAAACCTTCCTCGCGCCGTCCTCTGCACACCGCTCATGCACGGCTTCACGATATGCGGGCATGACGTCAGCACAATCACCATCGCCATCACCATTGCACAGCTCTTCTTCTCCCCCCTGCCCCACCTCGCCTTCCCCCCTTGCGCCTCCCTTCCTTGCGCCTCCCTCCCGTGCGCCTCCCTCCCTTGTGCCTGCCCCCCTTGTGCCTGCCCCCCTTGTGCCTCCCCCCTCCTCTGCTGCACGGCAGTTCCCCCACCAGAGAGGAACGCCCTCGCCACCCACTGCAGCCCACGACTGCCTTCCTCCGCCGCCCTCCCTGCCCCTATTGCACTCTGCCCCCCCCCTCTTGCACGCTGCTCCCCCTTTTTCACGTGCTGCTCTCCCCACTCCGCTTGCTGGCATCTCCTCCCTTCAGCCCCATCCCCCCCACCCTCCTTCCCCCCCGTCTCCCCCGCTGCGCCCTGCGCCCCTCGCACCACGCGCCTGTGCCGTGCCCTACGTGCCCCACCGCACAGGAAGGGCCGTGGAACCCATGCCACCACACCACCGGCCTCCCTGTGCTCCCTTCCCGCCTCCCTGCCTACCCCACCCTGACCCCTGTCGGCACTGTACCGTCGCCCCGTGCCCTCCCTGCTGCTCGCACCCTCCTTGCTGCCGGCGCCCCTGCTAGCACCGCTGCTGGCCTCGCCTCTACCTTCCGCATCCCTGCAGCCATGCCCATGCCCATGCCCATGCCCATGCCGCACCACTCGCACCTGCCTGTGCAGGTCGGTGCCTCCTCCCCTCGCTCCCACCTCGCCCTCGCGCACCGCCACCTCCACCACCCCCGCCCCCGACCCCACACCCTCCTGCCTCTGCTGCGGCGCACCCAGCCCGCCGCCAAAGAACGACCTTGGAATCCACACCAGCCCATTGCCGCCCACCCTCCCCTCTCTGCCATCCTCTCCTTCTACCCCATTTTTCTCCACCGCTCCCCCACTCTCCGCCCCTCTCCCACACTGCTCTCTCCACTCCAACTGCTGCCTTCGTCTCTCCCCCTCGCTCAAACCGCCGCCGCCGCCACCACCACCACCACCACCACCACCACCACCACCACCACCACCACCACCACCACCACCACCACCACCACCACCACCTCCTCCTCCTCCTCTGCCCGCCTCACCTTGCTTCACCTCCCCCTCCCTCGCCTCCCCCGCCCTCACCCAGACGTCCACCGCGTGCCCCGGCACCACCGCCTGCCGCCATGCCTGCACTGCCGGCTTCTCTGCCGAGCCGCACAGGAACGGCCTCGTCACCCACACCACCCCTCCCCTCCGCTCTGTCCCCGCCTGCCGCCCCCCCCCACCTTCCATTCCTCCCTCTGCCCCTCCCCCACCGTGCCCCTTGCACTTGCGCTGCTGCATTCGCCCCCTCGCCTCGCCCTCCTCTCCCCTTCCGTCCTCCTCTCTTCTCTCCCTCTCTCCCCACCGCTGCTGCACCGCACTCCCCCCACCGGGGAAGAAGGACCTGGGAGCCCACACCAGCGCACCGCTGCCCTCCTCAGCCCCACCGCCCGTCCCCCTGCCTGCAGCGCCGCGCCCAGCCGCGCCACCCCTGCCCGTGCCATGCCCACCTGCACTGGCGCCGTGCGCCGTCGCGCCATTGTGAGCCTCCCCACCACTGGCAGCACCATCGCGTGCGGCAGCAGCGGGAGCAGCAGGCGTGGCGGCGCTCTTGGGAGGCAGCACGCGCCTGCTGCTCTCGCAGTAGTCCACGCGGCCCACGGCCCTGGCGGCAAGAGGCAGGCAGGCGGCACGCAGGGGAGAGGCAGGACGCAAGGGGGGCAAGACAGCGGACGCAAGCAGGTGAGACGAGACACACGCAGCATGGTGGCACCGACGGCCGGGCGTGAGGGGAAGGCAGATGGGGAGGTAGTGGGCAAGAGTGGGGAAGCAGCAGCGGGGCATGGGAGCGAGGTGCACAGGGGGCAGCGAAGCAGAGCCAGCAGCGGGCACCAGAGGCCGTGCCGCCTCTCCAACGCTCCTTCATTGTGCTGCACCCACCGCCTGCCAGCCCGCCCTTTCCTTCCCTTGTCGCCACGCCCTCAGCAGCGCCGCCTTTACCTGCTGGACCGCCGACGTGGGTTACTCGGTACAGCTGACGTCACCGCTGGCGCCTTGTGTCGTTTGGCCGGCGTGTGCTCGTGCAGCGCGTCCGTCGCTCGCTTCACCTCTCGCCGCAGCGCCGCCGCCGCGTGCCCCAACTGAAGGTCCGCCAGGATGCGCTGCGTCTTGCGGACCTTGGCCAGTCGCAGCGCCTCGTACTCCGTCGCAGCCGTCGCACACATCGCACCAGGTTCTGCGCACCCGCAGGCAGTCGTGGATGTTGAATCAGATCGCGCGTCGGGCTGAGTCACATCCATCGCAGCGGGTCGCCGTTCCAAAAAAGAGGGGTCCCAAAATTTCCACACCACACCTGCCCCCCCAACACCCACGCGCAGCCTCATCTTGAAGCCCCCGCCAACTGACCACGTGCCAGACGAGTCCCCATCTACACCGCGTACCTGGGCTGGGCGTGGCACGGCCGACGCGGATTGGCAGAATTGTCACGAACCGACCACGCGAAAAACCGAGTCGCGAGTTATTCGCAAGCCGGACTTCGCGAGCGGTAACTCGCCGCTGATTGGCGATAATATCCCTGTGTAACGGGATTACCATTACAGCACACCAATTATGTTACCATATCGAGGTGCCCCCACAATTGTGGGATTACCATTACAGCATTGGTAACATTGTTAAAGCCTGACGGCGTCCCTTCGTTAACATTGTCCCCTCTCCTGACGACGTCATTGTTGAAGGCCTGTGGGTGTTCCGGGTGAAGCAGCTGCCGGGTGAGGAGCCAGTCTACAAGGCCCGGTATTGTGCCAAGGGCTTCACCCAAACCCATGGCATCGACTACTGGGAGACATTCTCTCCCACTGCCAAGCTCCCAACTCTCCGTGCCATCCTCGACTATGCTGTTCGCATTGGCATGGAGATTGGCTCCATGGATGTCTCCAACGCCTTCCTGCAAGGCGAGCTCCAAGAGCGGGTCCTCTTGCGGCGGCCTCCAGGCTTTCATGCAGCCTTCCCTGCCAACACAGTCTGGGAGCTGCGCCGCCCGGTTTATGGCCTCAAGCAGGCTCCTCGCGAGTGGCACAATGCCACTCTGCAGTCCTTGGGGTTCCATGCCTCTCAGTCTGATGCCAGCCTTTTCCTTCGCTCCTCTCCCACCCGCTTCTTCATCCTGGTGTATGTCGACGACATGATCCTGTTCGCTGACGATGCTGCCGCCATGCAGCAAGTGAAGGACGCCCTGCATGCGCGCCTCAAGTGCAAGGACCTGGGTGAGCTCAAGCACTATCTGGGCATGACCATCACCCGGGACCGCACATCGCGCACCATTACCCTCTCTCAGTCCTTCTACATCGACCAAGTCTTGCAGCGGTTCGACATGGCGCAGGCCAAGCCGGTTACCACTCCCCTGCAGACCGACCACCAGCTTGCCTCTCCTCCTGCTCCCTCCTCCTCTGACCATCCTCACGCTGAGCTCGTCGGCTCGCTCGATTCGTAGGTACTGTCGCCACACTGATGAGCACTGGGCTGCAGCGAAGCGGGTCCTCCGCTACCTCCGTGGTACCAAGGACTATGTCCTCACCCTCGGAGGCTCTTCTCCTCCCCTCCTCTCTGGCTTCAGTGACTCCTCCTGGGCTGACTCCCAGCCGGATCGCCGTTCCTCTCAAGGCTACGGCTTCACCCTTGGCAGCGGCCTCATCAGCTGGCGCTCCACTCGCTCCTCCTCCATCGCCCTCTCATCCTGCGAGGCTGAGCTCTATGCTTGCACCATGGCCGCTCAGGAGGCTCGCTGGCTCACCTTCCTCCTTGCTAAGATCGGTGCTCCTCAGCATTGTCCCACCCTCTGGTGCGACAACGCCAGCACCATCCATCTCACAAAGGACCCTGTCTTCCATGGCCGCTCCAAGCACATTGAACTCCGCTACTTCTTCGTTCGAGAGTTGGTCCAGCAAGGTCACTTGGTGGTCCGTAAGATCGCTGCAGAGGCCAACTTGGCCGACATCTTCACCAAGGCCCTCCCGAAGATCGCGCACTCTGCCCTCCTCCGCCTTCTCGGCCTTGGGCCCCGCCCCCCTTCCTGATTCTGGGGTTGTACCCTACATATACACTAGCTTTGCATGCTATGGGGTTGTGTTAGAATATACCATGCTATGCTAGTTGTGTATATTGTGTTTATATCCCTAGTTGGGTGTACACCTGTGTTGGGGTGTCAATCCAACCCAATTGTGGTTGGAGCCCCCAAACACAAGGACCACAATTGTGGTTGGCTTACTCAACCACTTCACTCGCCAACCCGATCCCGCTCCTTCGTCTCGAGCCGGACGGCACATGCTCCAACTACAAGGCTTGGCGCTATGGTGTCGACAAAGACCTCCTCAGTCGCAAGATGAAGAGGCTTGAGCTCACTGACGTCCTTCTCAACATCGGTGACGGCAAAGAGCCTCCTAAACCCGAGAGGTCCGTCCATCCAGCTAATGCCACCGCCGAAGTAGTTTATCCTGCTGCACTGCTCAAGTACACGAATTGGGAGAAGGCCGATGGCGCGTTCATTAGTGTCTTCATGGGCACCACTCCTCCCGAACTCGTCGAAACCTACCACAACTACCCATTTGCCAACGCCATTTGGCTCTACCTCAAAGATCGCTTCCTGAACAAGACTGCATTGGGAGTTGCTATACTCATCCCCAGCATCTTCCAAGTGCGGCTCGAGGATTTGCCAGGCATGGCGGAAAGTCTTCCTTGAGCAAGCCCCTACAGCCGCTCTCCTAGTCGGCCTCACTCCGGCATACGATGCAAGGTGCTCTAGGGCCTTGCTCCTGCAGACCTCACATTTGCCAAGGTCTCATCCGCGCTCCTTTCTGCCGAAAAGGACAACATCGCTCAAGCCAAGGCCAATGCAATCTGCGCTCCTGTGCCTCAGGCCTATGCCGTTTCAGCACCATTCCAGCACAACCGCTTCCCCTCGTGTTCCTATGTCATCAAGCACGGCCCTCGTGCCGGCCAGGTCTGTGGCGGCACCAACCACGCCCTTGCCTCCTGCATCAAGGAGAAGGATGACGAGTGGTATGCCGTCAATGGGACCGCCTCGAAGCCACCAAGCTGGATGCTCAATCGTGCTCCTCGCAAGGTCAATCAAGTCGAAGCGCTGGAATCCATGCAGGGTGCTGTAGCTCCCTCTCCTGATGTGCGCCTCAACATGTTGTTCCCTGGCACTGCCATGATTAATGAGACAATTTTGCAGTGTCCCGGCTCACAAAGCACCTCAGCCACAATAGAGTTCACCCTCGACAGTGGGGCCACTCACACGGTTCTCAAGGAACAACACTCCTTCAAGCCATACGAGACACCAATCCGTCTACTAGGAGCAGACTACAGTTTCACAACACACGCCAAGGGCTCCTCCACAGTTCCGTGCCCAGCCTTTCCTTCGGGCAGTGTCACCGGCATGTGTGTTCCCACACTACGCCAGAATCTCGTGGCGCAACACGAGCTCCAACGCGCAGGCGTCACCACGATCTTCCCAGCACACTCGGATCAATGTGACCTCCTTGACCCTAAGTCCAACAAGCTCCTAGCACGCTTCACACTCAACAGCAGCAAGCTCTACACGCTGCGTTCACCTGCACCTCTCGCCGTCCTCTCCCAAGCGCAAGCTGCCAACACCACTCCGTGTTCGTGTCGCAGCTTTGCCAACCCAACCATCCTCTACCAACATCGCTTGGGTCACCCCAACTTCCGTACACTTGCTGGCATCGCTTCCAAGAAACTTCTTCTTGGCCTCCCGTCGGCGCTTCCTCCACCAACAGACTCACTTGCACCCACCTGCCTAGACTGCACCAAGTCACGTTCGGCACTCTTCTGAAGTGCCTCTATTCTGATGGCGGGGGAGAATTTCGCAATGGCAAACTCGATAACTTCTGTGCGGCCTTAGGGATTCGGCAAACCTTCACGCTCCGCGAAAGCCTGCAGCAGAACGGCATTGCAGAGAGCCGCAACCACACCTTGGTTCAGATCGCTCGCTGCCTCCTCAGTCACGCCAACGCACCACGGTCACTCTAGGGATATGCCCTCTTCGATGCGGCACTCCTCTACAATCTTTATCCGCATCCCCACCGGCCCGACACCACACCTACCGCTCTCTGGCTTGGGTTATCGCCTTCCGCCCGCTCTCTACGCGTCTGGGGGTGTACCGCGTATGTGTTGCTAAGCCCCCACATGCGCAGGAAGCAAGGTGGCAAGCTTGGTCCCAAAACCCAGACCTGCATGTACCTGGGGCACAACTCCGACTCCCCAGACTACTTATTCCTCAACCCAATCACCAGACAGCTAATTCGCAGCCGTGATGTCGTCTTCGATGAGACACGCCCATTCCACTCTGCGACCATGGGCGAGCCTCCTCCACCTCCCCCGACGCTTGTTTGGGCAGACTTCGATGCCCCACCTCCGGCCGCTGCCCCTTCTACGGGGCCTTCTCCGTCCGGCGTGTCTCACCCGGCCTCCCCAGTATCCTCCGCAGCGGCACCTCCTTCTGCTCCGCCTTCCCCGTGCGTCGAGCCCGGCTCACCAGTCTCCTATCGGAGGCGCCCAGTCCCTCCGGTCCCACCGCAACCACCTTCGTCTCCGGTCTCTAGTCGCACTCGTTCCAAGGGACCGGCTCCGCCTCTCGCCTGGGGACCAGCCGCCTTCTCCATCCGGTGTTCGGTCACCCCGCCTCCTCCTGCCGGGGGTGATGTCCCCTCCATCCGTATTCCCCCCCGTGCACTTTTGGAGGACAGGCATGAGGAGCTGTTTGACCTTCACGCGGTCTGCCAATATCTCTCTCACATCTTCCCGGACATTGCTGACTGCCCTTCCCTCAACTTCACCGAGAACCCGACCATTCCGACTCCTCGCACAAAAGAGGAAGCTCTCTCGGGGCCTTATAAGAAGGAGTTGAAGGCAGCAATGGATGTGGAGAACGAGGCGTTCATTCGCAACAACAGCTTTGACGATGTTGTTCCCCCTTTGGTGTCAACATCGTTGGCGGAAAATGGATATTCCGAGTAAAACAACTCCTAGGCGAAGCTCCACTGTTCAAGGCACGATACGTGGCGAAGGGTTTCACCCAGAAGGAGTATCTCGACTTCTTCGAAACCTTCTCGCCCACGGCCAAGCTCCCGACTGTGCGCGCTCTTCTTGATATAGCCGCTCGCGGCAACTTCGAGATCAAGTCCATGGACGCCTCCTCCGCCTTTCTCCAAGGCCAGCTCAAGGAGGATGTTCACATGGAACGCCCACCGGGGTTTCCTGGCACTTACCCTGCCAACACAGTGTGGAAGCTGAAGCGCCCAGTGTATGGCCTCAAGCAGGCTCCTCGTGAGT